ATGCATCTTCAATGTCAGAGGGAATACTTTCCGAATCAATACTATTTACTGTCATATTGACATTGCCATGCATGGTATTATTGGAACAAAGGTATTAAGGTAATTGCTTTTTAGGATAGGTATATTATGTCAAGTACAATAATTTTTAAAATTCATTGTATGTTTTTATTGTTAGACGTAGATAAAATATATTGTACAATACACGCGAGTTAACTCCACTAAGATACTTGTTTGGTTACACAATTAGTGCTACGCACTCGTGCAACTTTCACACGCGTATCTTAATGATACTGTTAACTCACTTGTATCGTAAATATCTATTACTAAATAAAATCATCTCTTTAATTTGTCGAAATGCAATTTCTTTTCTTTGTTGTTTCGGTGGATAATTTGTTTTAATTTTCAATAACTGCGCTCGGGTCGGTCTTCGGAAGAAAAAGAAGGAGAAAAAACAGGGGAGAAGGGACACAAAAGTCGGTAAGAAAAGAGGGAAAAGCTGGCAATTCTCCCGACAATTACCGGCAAAGTGTCAAGAGTTCTAATTAGTTTTCCGTGCAACGTTCCGGCAGTATCCAGTCACGTTTCCTTCCGAGCAGTTCTTTTTTCATCCTTTTTCGGAGTAATTTCTGACCAACTAGAAGAAAAAAAAATTTGGTCTAGAACATTAGAAGGTATTAAATTTAGTAAATTAACATGAATAGAGTGGAAAACCGAGCAAATAGAATCTCGAGAATATCGGAGATTTAAATTGTTTTTTTCATAGCAACTGTTAAAATTGCCTTATATCTATCAAAAATAGCAGATAAAATAGTACTTTAACCGCAAGGGTAGATTAAATGATACTTTAACCAGCGAGGATAGGTTAAAAACTTTATTTCTTCTCGCACGTTTTTTAATTGCTTCCATTTTTGAAAATTTTGTATTCCTTTTCATAAGTTTTTCGGGATTTAAATAGAAGTAGTTTAGATATGGCGGTTGTCGCCTCAGCCTGAATATCTGTTGGTAATTTACTTATTTTGTTTTGAGCCATTTCTGGCTCCAATTCAATCAGCAATCGACACGAAAGAGAATTAAAAAATATTGACTCAAAACTGACAACTAAAGAGACAGCTTTATTTATTTGTCAAATTACATAGAAACCAACGCCAACCCAGCACAATATTTTTTCTACTCGTAATAAATTCCTTGAAATAATAATTTCTGAATATTTTATAAAATGTAACTTGCTATGGAAAAAATATTGTTTTATACACGACGATAAAATTGCATTATCGTCTCCCGAAACTAGGCGTCGTATTGTGTGTGACAATTTCAAATGTTAATAAAATTGACAAAAAAATGTTAACGCGTAAAGGAGAGCGTAATTTAGGGCGTTGTTGGGTGCAGTAACATTCAATAACTTTCCCAAAACAACATTTAATAGCTTCATAGTTTCTCACACCGATTTGATCAAAAGCAAAAATGCTTTTTCAAGCAGTTCGACGAAACAAGTGAGTAAACAAAGTGCTTGTTAATTAATCAAATAATGAAATATTTGCTATGAGAGGATAAAATATAATTTGCAGTATTATTAATGGTATACTTTTTTTAATCGACTAGTAAGTAAATGTTTTATGAACATCTAAAATTATAATTACTTATGTACTTTTAAAAAATTTCTTTATAGCCGAAATAATCTCAATTCTATCGATCATATACCTTGTTTTCTTTGTATCATGCTTATCATGTTATTAAACCGACATAAAGTGTCAAATTCCACGAGCGTAAGCATATTTTCTCCATATACATATAATTACATACAATACATACAAGATCAAACAAGTAGTCAAACGTACAGCATGGCCACAAAAAGTGTCATTGTCACTCCTAATTAGTGTATCCAGTCCCGGGACTTGGTCCCGGGACTTAGCATAAAAAAGTGGTCCCGGGACCCAATGATGGTCCCGGGACCTCAACTTGGTCCCGAAACCACTAAATTATTATACCTTGCAGTTGTTGAAGTAACGTATTGTAAAAGAAACCATCAGAAAATCATTGAAGACCTGCCAAGTGATGATAATTATAGTGACGACGACGATAAAACTGTGGATGAAGAGATCATTTACGATCTAACCGACAGCTACAACATAAACGAAGTAGTCAACAAAGTCCGAAAAATCGTAAAATTATTTCGACGCCCTCCATTGAAAAACACTGTTTTACAGAAATACGTGCACGGAAAATACAATCGAGAATTAAATCTTATTTAAGATTGTAAAACCCGTTGGAATAGCCTTGATGGAATGCTAGAAAGGTTTGTTTTTCTAAAAGATTGCATACAAAAGGCCATGATTGATCTCTTCATATCAGTATATTTCAGTGACTACGATTTTGAAATTCTGGACGGAATTGTTAAGTGCCTAGAACCTATAAGGCTAGCTGTGATGACACTATGTAGGTATGAAGCAAATCTCTACACTGCTGATGCTAGCTTTAAGTTTATATTCGAAGAACTTTCAAAAATCAATGCGCCTTTAAGCCAAAACTTACAGGAAGCATTGAAGCAACGAATAAACGAGGGAAGAACCCTTGCCACCAGTGTGCTTAGTTATCTCTGTAATCCACTAAAATATATAGAAAGTTTAAGCAATCCTTTAGATTTTAATCAGTCTAAGCCAAATACCAAAGAATTCTTGAAAGTTCATTGACAAATTGGTGCAAAAATTATCACAATCCAAAGTGCAAGAGCAAGAAGCTGTTTCAGATGAAGACGAAGTTTCGCTGGCGGAGATAAGAAACAGAAGTAGTAATCAGGTTGAGAAAGATCCATTGGCAAAAAGGTTAGACGGATTTATTGAAAGTGCAATATCTGCTACTGCCTCAACAAGTACAAGAGCAATCATACAAACGTCATTAGCTGCAAAACCAGATCGATTATCAAAAGTTATAAAACGAGAAATGATCTTTTTTGAGGATGGCGATTGTCGAAGACAATATTTGCAGCTATGTTACGAGCATTTACTGACCATTCCATCCACCAGCGTCCAATCGGAGAGAGCTTTTTCAGTTGCCGGTGGATTTTGTAGTAAGCTTCGTTCAAGATTAGATGATAAATCCTTAAATGCTCTTGTGGCACCTAAGTCTTACTTTGGACAAAAGTGATGTGTCTCGTTATATACCTTTTTTTTTAGTTTATATAGTTTTTTATAGTTTTATATTTGCCATGTTCGCATGAGTTCATGTCAATTTGTTTCTGTTTTTTTTTGTTTTGATTTTTGTTGGTTAACCATTTAGCAATATAAATAAACCTGAGTTCTCACTTAAATTAATTTAATTTCTTATATTTTCTCAAGATATATCTTATCGATATTAGATAAGTATACTGTATATTTTAGTTTGGGGACCAGTTTCGGGACTCTCGGGACTTGTCCCGGGACCTCATATTTGGTCCCGAAGTCCCGAAAGCATTTTTGGTCCCGGGACTTGGATTCCCTACTCCTAATAAAACAATATATACTATTTGTTTGAGTAAAAATGGTTTTTAAGGGAAACTTTGTATCCTTTTTGATCTTCCTATAATTAGTGTTAATTATTGACAAATTTTATATCAATTTTTAGTAAATGACGTCTAGGGATTGACCTCGCCAAAATTATCATCGACTGTCATTTCCTATAGCCGTCTTTGACGCTGTTTTTTTTATCGAAGTAAACCAATCAATTTTGAAAGTATTTTAGAATTAAATAATTAGGTATATTATTTTTTCTATCGGCTTTCATTTACTTGTCAAAAATAATTAGAATACGCCAATTTGACTTGGATATTTCAGTAGCGTATCTGATATAGGTTCGTTATTTAATAAGGAAATGTAGTAAAAATACATTTCGTAGAAATCTATTTTTTCTGACGATTTTAATTACTCATAATATTTATTGACAATGTAAAACAAAACTAACAAATTATTGAGTCTACTCTAAATTATTTTTTAGACCGTTTAAATAAAATTAGAACTGCCCGGATAAACCGTAATTTAAATCAGCCATATTAGTTCCCCATCGCGCTCCATCTAAGTTTGTTGATATGCTTCTTCCTCAATCTTTTTATTCAAAAAACAATATTATATGACAAATTTTGACATTTTTACAGCAATTTTGTATGTCTAAATAAAATATTCCACCTCTTTTTTACTAGAAAATTTAAGAAAAGAGACCCCTTCAAAAAACAACATTATATAAAAAAATATTGCTATTTTTTATTTAATTATTATCTCGTGCTTTGCTGTTTTGTCAATACCATTTATTATCAAACTTTTTATGCCTTTACATCATACAATTTGTTTTTCCATTCTACCTTTCTAATGTTTTTTTACGCTCCACAATTTCTCTTACTATTCTTTCTATTCTTCTCCCTAAAAACAATACATGCCGTTTCTTCTTTTGAAACTGGTCTAAATCTAATTTTCTTTGCGGTTCCAGACCGAGTCCTTTGTTTTTTTAAACTTTTCGCGCCAACGAAACTAGAGACAATTGCGACAAAAAGAACACGGTTTTGAAGCTCCAGAACTATCTAAGACGAAGTCCTAATTGTAAATAGCATGGAATTCGATTTGGAAAGAACCTAGAGCCGCTTGTACGACTCCTAAATCCATTAAAGAAATCCAGATTTTCAAATAAAAGAAAAATACAATGGAATCCCTTAGCTATTTTCCAAAGCAACCTGTAATTTCCAAGATGATAGTTGGGCTGCGCACACACAGATGGCGCTTCACATTTTTTACTTTATTATATTTTATATTATTTTATTTATGATTACTGTATTAAAATTATTCTTAATGTTCAATTACTTAACGTCATATTTTGTATTATCTATTTATGCATTATGTTATTTGATTTCAAAAATAGAAAAAAGATGCATATTATAATTTCCTATTTAGAAGATTTTACAGCTTCAGTTATCGGATAGCAGAGGGCGCTGCGGCAGATTTTCTAATAAATCTTTCAAAACAAATTGCATATGGCTGCCACTCAGCACAACAATCCGTGTTTTATAACAATTTTTTCATAGTTTTTAGTGTTTTTTCGTTCTAGTGCTCGTGTTTTTTTACAATGTCGTGTTGTTTCTTCCGTTCGGTGACTGTGAGTGTGTGAATGGTGGTGATAATCCTCCGAATTAAGTCATAAAAACGCGTAAGTTTGCCATACTTTTCTTGGTTATGTATTTTTATTTGTTGTTGTTTGCACATGTGGTAATTTATTTAAATTTCTACTAGCTGGTTACATATTTTACAATCTGTATTGATCAGTAGGCTGTGTTAGGAAACCGGTCGCTTAACAAAAGTGTTCTTTTTCAATTCGTTTAATCAATAAGGCTACTGTTTTCTTTTATTGAATCAGAGGTCATTTACTGTGTTTACAAAAGTGTTTATTGGGCTTATATTTCTTTTATTTAAAGGGCCTTTTTAAAGGAATCTTAACCAGAAATATAGGGCTTTAAATTTTAAACTGTAGGGTTCTAAATTATTTAAAAATATAAACAATACATTCAAAAAATACATTAGAAAACAGTGCTTGCAAATAAAGCTAATTTTTGTTTATAACACATCTGGTGATATAAATAAATGTAATCTATAATTTTAGAGTCTCATTACAAGCTGGGCTTTAAACAATTAAAAAATAATATACATAATATTCGACCTTGTTATATTTTGAAAATATGTGACACATGCTTTCTGAACACAAACATTGCATTTTCTCACAGATTATCTTAAAATAACTTATGGAATAATTTATTATTATTTTGGAATACTGTGTAAATAAGTATACCAAGTAAAGAAATATGTATGAATGTCTTTAGATTAGGTATTTAATTTTAATAATTTACAACAAGATTATGTTGTAATTAAACGAATTTGATATAATTATTAAGTAACCTATAATAAAACAATATTGTTTATAGCTTTTATACTATCATCGCAATGCTATTTAAACATAAGATAAGAAGTGCATTCCGATTTATGAAAAATTAAATTTTTTGTTGTCTTTGAAACGAATGTTGTTATAACTTTATAAATCATGTCACATAAACTAAATAATGATGCAAGTTCAAGTTGAATATTCTTTTTGCTAGAATTAAATAAAATATAATCGAGAATATAATCTAGTAATTTAATTGTTTACAATAGGTATGTAGCTTTTTTTTGTTTTAAGGCCTGGGAATAATTTTATAAGGTTATATTTTGCTCTGGCTCATTATTCTCATTCTACTTAACTCATAACTTTACTACTCTTACTTTTTCTCGGCATTTTTATTATTGGAGATAATTTCTTAATTTTATTTTGGGACACTCGTTGGGACATATTAAAGGATAATTAAGTCAGTCAACTTAATAAAAGACAGTTAAGTTGTTTTTCCTTTTGTAGCTAATAATATTAAAAACAATGAGGGCTCTATTATTTTAGGCATTAAAAATAATAATTGTTAATTACCCTTTTTTACTTTTTGAATTGTTTATGTTTAATTTCGTCTGAATTTATACATTCGCGTGTTTCTAAAATTAATTTAAAGTAAATAAAAACATGTTTTCCTTTATAAAACTCTGGATACCCATTTTAAATGTTTTTACAATGAGGAGTGTTTGGTTTGGTTGGTAAATCTTATTCATTTATAAATATTTATTATTTTAGGATGGTTTAAATGAGCCTTGAATAATATACCTACCGTAAAGTGGGGTGACATTGATATCGAAAGGCGACATTGATCACCACTTTATATCTGTATTTGGGAATATTTTCTGTCCCTGTGTCTCACTACAAACATACAAATTTGGCAACCTTGTAGAGGTGAAACGTCAGGACTTCAGAATTTGAGTCCGCCAACCAATTATTAGTTATCTAGTAGCATGCGGCAGAGTCGTGTTTTCTGGGTACAAAATTGGGATATTTCTTATGTGCTGAAAACTTCGAGTGCAGAAAGGTATGTATAAAACTTATGTGTATTATTGTATACCTGTTCAAAAGCTTCATTTTCCTTCAGAAGTTGAACGAATTTGTATATTTTTATCTTCGTCAGAAAGAAAAATATTTGAGGTGTTGTGTAGTGGGGCGTCTTTGATCAACATGGTGGGGCGAGACTGTTCAAGTGATCAAAGTCGCCCCATGGTAAATTAAGGTATTGTGTCATGGGGTGTCTTTGATCAACATGGTGCGGAGAATTTGTTTGGCTCATTAAATTTGCTGTATGGTAAACAATTTTTCTGTTTTAGATGGTTCGGGACTACAAAAGAAAACCTGGTTCCAGAAACTATAGAAATTACAATGAAGCGCAGCTGGAGGAAGCTCTTAGAAAAGTAGTGGAGGGAAGTATGACCATGAGAACAGCAAGTCAAGAGTATAAAATCCCATTTGGAACGCTTAATAATAAATTTCATGGGCGCAATGTTAAAATGGCTGGAGGTCAATCCATATTTTCCCATGCTGAAGAAATAGCAATTTTAAATGCAGTGGTAAAATGCGCTGATTGGGGATTTCCATTGTCTATGTTAGAATTGAGAATGTTTGCAAAATCTTTTTTAGATCAATCCGGTCGAAAAATAAAATGTTTTCAAAACAATTTGCCAGGCAAGGATTGGGTGAGAAGTTTGTTAAAAAGGCATAATACTAGTGTAGCACAACGTGTCTCGGCAAACATAAACAAAGAACGAGCAAGTATCAGTAGAGATACTATTAACAAATATTTCGATAATCTAAAAGAAACAGTAAAAGATATACCCCCTCAAAATATATTTAACTACGATGAGACCAATGTCAACGACGAACCAGGAAAAGGAAAAGGTATCTACAGGCGTGGCGTAAAATATCCCGAAAAGATTGCTAACCATTCCAAAAGCGCAACTACCATCATGGTTTGTGGATCAGCTGATGGTACCCTTTTACCGCCATACATCATTTATAAGAGTGAACACCTTTATAACACGTGGCGAGAAAATGGACCAAAGGGCTACCCATGTTGTAATAAAGCATGTTGCGCTGTTGGATGTAGATTTAATCGTACGTCACACGGTTGGATGGATTCAAGCACTTTTCAGGACTGGTTTGAAAGTAGCTTTCTACCTCATGCTCGAAGGCTGGAAGGTAAAAAGATTCTTATAGGTGATAATCTAGCTTCCCATTTTAGTGAAACTGTTATTCGTCTATGCGAAGAAAATGATGTCGCCTTTGTATGCCTTGTGCCACATTCTACACACATTTGTCAACCACTTGACGTGTCGTTTTTTAGACCTATGAAAACAGCATGGAGAGCTATTTTGACAAATTATAAGATGAAACACAGTCGTCAGTCAGGCATACCAAAAGATGTGTTCCCGTCACTACTCAGAGAATCGCTGGAAAAAATGGATTCGGTGTCTACTCAAACGAAACACAAGTCTGGAGATGGGGAAGTTTCAGCTATAAAACGAAATTTAATAAATGGTTTTGAAGCTACGGGTATATATCCCTTCAATGCTCAAAAGGTCCTGATAAAAATTCCCGGTGACAACGACCCCGCCCAAGAGGTAAATGAAGTATTAACGCAATTTTTAAAGGAAAAACGTTATGGTGACGATTCAGAACGTGCACCACGTAAAAAGAAAACTAGGTTAATAGTAGAACCAGGAAAAAGTGTAACTGCTGACAATGCTAGCAGCTCAGAGGACGAGGCTCAATATAGTCCAATCCATTTGTCAGATAATGAGAACGATAATACCCCCAATGAAGATGTGGTGGAAGAAGTTACAAACTACTTAAAACCTACATTGGATCTCTTAATTCCGGATACATTCGTTTTAGTGAGATACTTACAAGGAAAACGTAAATCTATATGGTTTAAATATGTTTGCGTAGTTAAGGAGAAATACTCTGATAGTGAATTTACTGTTGCGGGGCTTAAATCAGTGAATTCTGATCATAATGTGTTTTCTCTTGTAAAGAATGATATTTCTACCGTACCTATAGAAGACATTCTGGCCGTACTTCCCAATCCAATATTTAATAAAGAAATGCATTACCAGTTTCCGCATAAAATAGACGTTCTTGAGTTGTAATTTATGTTTCATGTTTTGTTCAAATGTTGAAATTATGTATGTATCTATCTAGCAAATTAATAGTAAAACCCTTTAATTTGTACCTAATGTGTTTTTTTATTATTTTTTATTAAAGAAAAAAATACATCAATTTTGATTGTAAACATGACCGATCAATGTCGCCCCATATAACGTAATTTAGCCTAACACAAAATTAGCTTAGCCGATTTGAAAATGGGGCTAGATTGATCGGTTTGGGTATAAAACACGTAGTTCAACGCGCTTACACATGGTCTATCAAAGTCGCCCCACTCAGGGTATAACATTGATCACGACGGTTTTTTTATTTTTTGGAGTCACCTTGATACAGTATTTTATATTAATATACTGTATGTATATAAATACCCATTTGACATGGTTCTGTATTTTTGTAAAATATAAATGTATATTAGTTTTTTTGTAAATCTAAAATTAATTATGAAACTGATCAATGTCGCCCCACTTTACGGTACTTTAGTTTTTACTAAATTTATTTTGAGACCTACTTTACTGCTGGCTGTATTTAGTTAATTTGTTACAATTGGGGGTTGGAACTTTTGGTGTTACAACAGCAAAATAAAACATCGTCAGCAGATGATTTAAAACTGAACTAAAGTTAAATTAACAGGAAAGAATAAAGAGAAAAACCAGAGTAGAGAGGTTTTATAAAAAGGCAATTTAGGTTTTCAGATAGTTTTAACATAATCCCTATCTCCTTCCCCCAAAGCTTCGTATAAATCATCCCGAAAACCACTCACACCGCACCCACATTGTCACATTTGAAGCACGTGTGTCCGAGAATCCAATAAACCAATATTCCGCACCGCATTTCTATCCAATTTCTTTCATTTTTCCACTTCCTTTTTCCCAATATGACTCCACGAAAGATCTCCCTCACCCCTAATGCCATCTCACCGCTGTCATTCTCCATTTTTTTTATTTCCCCAGAAACATAATGCATTTAGACAGTCGCTTTTATTTCTCTGGAGATTTGGGACATGGGAAGAAAAATGGAGAAAATTGCGTGGAGAGGGTGGAAATTTTTAATTGAGTCCCAAAAACGTTCACGTTGATGATGAACAGGACGAAGAAATAAAGGAAAAAAAGCGGTGAGGGACCGCTAATAATTATGAAACAACGAATATAAAGAAAAAATAAATTAAAACAAAAAAAAGAAAAGGTCTGGAAGTTGTTGGGAATAATATAATTAGAGTACGTTGGGGCATAATTGAAGATGGAAGCTAGCTGTTTTCCTTGATGTTTTTATCAAGGTTCTTGGGCACGCGCTTTTTTTATTACTTGGTGCAATTTGGGGAAGTTCTAATTGGAATATGGGGGGCGATTAGGGCCACTATCCATTAAATTTGCTGAGGGAATTGTGTTTTGTTTCGTTAAGTTAGTTCTGGTGCGAGAAAAAGTAAATAAATCTCTTGTTATTTAATTATATAATTTAAAAAAAAAAGGTTTTACTAATTTTATATGTTTGTTAAATTAAAGCTGATCATAGTTTTATTAATATAAAGCTTTTAATAAAAAGGTTAAGGAAGGCGCATATCAAAAAACTTAGATTGATTGGGAAAGTGACCTAAAATGGCCGACTTAAATTCCGGTTTATCTGTGTTGTGCCGTTCTAATTTTATTCAAAACATATAAAAATATGATGTAGGGTAGACTCGATAATTTGTTGTTTTACGTTGTCAATAAATGTTGGTGGTTTTTAAAATTGTAAATAAAAATAGATAAGTTATAATATAATAATTATTTATTAACACAAACATCCGATACGCTAATCAAGCAGGTAGGTAAGTCAAATTGACTTATCTAAATGCTTTGACATCTGATATTTGACAAATAGTTAGTATAAATAAAAGCAAAAATGCCAGAAAAAATATATAATTAGTTAATTTTAAGTGAATTTCATAAATTATCGGTTTACTACACGCAGGTATATTATACAGGGTGGGCCACTGAAAACTTACAATGGCTATAATTTTTAAACCAAAAAAGATATTAAAGAAATAAAAAATACCGTTTCTATAATATCGAGGGGGAATACATATGACGTATTTTTTGAACCACCCCGGCCTACCCCTAAGGGGGCACCCTCGGGGGCACCACTACTCACTTGAAAATCTTAAATGGCAACACTACACTTACACTAAACGATGATCATAAAGTTTTTAGGGTGAAATTTAAAAACTACCCTTTACACGAAAAATTAGGTGGACATTAATGAGAAAAGTGATTTTTTCAGCATAAGTTACAAATTGGGACCCAGCTAAATGAGGTTTTTTTCAAACTACCCCAACCCACCCCTAGGTGCCACCCCCTCACTTCTAACCTCAAGATAGCGATACCCCACTTGTGACACCTCTTTGGAAAGCGTATAAAAATGCTGAACGAGTGTCATAAAAAGAACGAAAAAAAATAGAGCCTCAAAAATAAAACAAAATGTCAAAACGTGTCAAAATCAATAGAATGAATTATTTTTTGTATCCATGAACCATTGCGAGAAAAAAGCTGGTACAAAGAAATTTATTATAACTCTTAATGAAGAGCTCCTGGAGCATTATTCTATTTATTGTCACAAGGCGGTGGTTGGATAAATATTATCAAAGACAATGGATTGGCAGAAAGGGTCTAATCGAGTGGCCACTAAGGTCACCTGATCTCACTCTTTAGACTTTCCCTTGTGGGGTTACACTAAATTCATAGTCTACAAGACAAAATCAGGTTCGTTGCAAGAATTGCGGCAGAGGAGAACTGAAGCATGTCGAAATATTCCGAGAGAGACTTTCCAAAAAGTGAGAGAAGAATTTGAAAATCGTTTGTATTTTTGTATGGAACAAAACGGCTGTCATTTTGAGCAAATATTAAAATATTAAAATATTGTCACACCTACATTTCTTGTCACTAACCAGTAATTAAGTTGAAGTCTGTATGACCATCGTTTAGCAATTTCAATTAGCTTTCCAAAGAAGTGTCACAAGTGGGGTATCGCTATCTTGAGATTAGAAGTGAGGGGGTGCTACGTAGGGGTGGGTTGGGGTGGTTTGAAAAATATTTTATTTGCGTCATTTAGTTGGGTCCCAATTTGTAACTTAGACTGAAAAAATCACCTTTTTCCTTAATGTCCACCTAATTGTTCGTGTAAGGGTAGTTTTTCAATTTCACAATAAAAAGTATAATGTGTAATAATTGAAACCACCAATTGCGAAGTTCTGAACGAAGCTTTAAGAGGTTGTCCATTTCTTCATTGAATAATATATCCTTATTCCAACCCTGCGCTTTACCTAACAACCTCAGAACACGTCAGCTAACCTCCGGCTAGCCCCAGGTAGAAACCGTCTTCCACCAGGCCGGGCATATAGAGACCTTCGTCTCCGTCTGTCAAGTTCAGGAATGCCGGCACGCAGCGGGGCACCCCGAGCCAACACCAATCATACAGCTTCTTCTGCCGTACAGCCGAGAGCATCAGCATCGGATGGACGCTTTTGGGGACCCTTTCCTTCCACGGCCATTTCTACGTCTCATTGTGGTCGACGGGTTTGACGTTTGAGTGTCGTTTGGCCGTGTGAGTGGAAAGGGTGTCTCGAAGGTGATGACTGGGTGCTCTCTGGTAAGGTTGATCAGAAAATTAATAAACTTTTAATCCTTAACGGCTGCGCTGAATAATTTTCCTGTAATCGCTACAGATACCTCTTTTTAAGATTATTTAATAGAAAACAAACTGTTTTGGTGTCTCTCTGGTAATTTTGATGTATTTTAAAGTTAAATATATTTTGTTCTGGTGGACTGATTTGGATGATTTTTTAAGCAATATGTAGCTAAATTATTTGACTTCTTAATGTCTTCTTCTAAACTAAAATTAAAAGCTCCCATCTGTCAATTATACGAGGGAAAACAAAATTTTGATATTTTGGTCGAACTTTGAAACACCCTGTGGAATATCTTAAGACAGCAAGGAATTTAAAAATTATTGTATTATTTAGGTACATCCTTTCTTGATTGTTTTTTTGTTTCATCTGAATAGCTTTATTTTTGTTGGAGATATTCGTTTTTGAAGAAGACACTAATATTTTTTTGTAATTTTTACATTAAAACCATGCCTTTTCTTTTGTTCCAAGTCAACAGACATAGTAAGTTGTGGTCCAGAAGCAGGCCTTCTTGGTATAATATTTGCTTCGTTTTTTTACGGTACGTTCCTTAAGTGCAATTCATTACAAATTTGAAAAGCTGGCAAACGGCGCGGTTTCATAGTGATAAACTTACTATAAGTCGATCGTCTCGATTCTAAGTTTTCGTGCGAAGGTTCCTGGACGTCTAGTTGGAAGTCTAGCTTATGAACTTATCTCGAGGAAGCGACTGAACTGTACTTTGTGTACACCTAAAAATACACTATCAGACAAAAATAGAGAAACTTTTTAAAACTCGTCGGATTTCAAAAACCTCCAATATTTAAAATAATGTTTGTTTTACACATATTTCCTTTTAGCAATACCATTTTTCGCCACATTCCAAATTTATCTTATCAGGGATATATTTGGAGGGACATATAAAGAAACCAACATAAAAATTGACCATACTTAGTAGTTATTTGCTTAAGGTGAAAACTGTCGATATTCTGATTTACATTTTTACTAAATATGCCACACAGAAAATATTTGTCTGAGAATCTACGCGAAAAAATAATCAACGCACATCGGAATGGTGTACGGCAAATGGACATAAGCACACTGTGTAATTTGCATAGGTCTGTCATTAGCAGGACGATTTCCGATTTCAAAATTCGCAATTCCAAAAAATTAAAAAAATCGCCTTAACTAATCCGCATAAACCGGTAAATCAAATTTTGAGTGAACTACCTGGTGTCAATAATAGCTCTGAGACCATCCAAAGGACGCTAAGGGAAGCAGGGTTATTGAGCAGAAGAGCAGCCAAAAAAACATTCATCAGTAAGAAGAACCAGAAGGCCCGACTTACCTTTGCAAAAAAAATATTTGCACTGGTCGACGAATGACTGGAGAAAGGTCCTGTTTTCAGATGAAAGCAAATTCAATATATTTGGATCCGATGACATATCGTGGATACATCATCGCCCAGAAGCGAAAAGAGTTTATTCAAAGTATACCAAGGCCACTGTAAAGCATGGTGGTGGATCTTGCATGGTGTGGGGATGCTTTTTGGGCTATGGCATGGTACCGATTTATGTACCATGAATCGATTTATGTATTTAGATATCTTAAAGAAAGTGATGATTCCGTTTGCTGATGATAATTTGTCTTTAACATAAATATTCCAGCAAGATAATGATCCAAAGCATAAATCGAAAGTCTTACAACAATGGTTTTTGTCTGAACAAATTAGAGTTTGGACTTTTCTGTCCAAACTCCAGACCTTAATCCCAATGAAAACCTGTGGGATGAACTAGATCGTCGGGTAAGACGCAGTCACATTAACAATAAGAAAGATTTGATAAGAATTTTGAAAGAGGCATGGAATTCCATTGAACCACATACCATAAGAAAACTATTGGACTCCGTGCCAAAGCAATGACGCGAAGTTACAGCTAATCACGGTTACTCTACCCATTATTTATTTCGTTAGGTTAGCAACAACTATGTACTTGTAATTTTTATATTAATTTTTAGTTTCTCTATTTTTGTCCCTGTGAGACATGTGATTATTTCATTTAAATAAGAACTATTTAAGTATCCTTAATTTTAACAATGCATAAAATGGGCAGTCCCTGCAACAAAAAATACACAATTTTAAAAAGTTTCTCTACTTTTGTCCGATAGTGTAATTACAATTCCTAATGAATATATTTTTGTAAATTTAACAGTTTTTCATATCTCAATGAACAAATGTGAGTTAAAATCGGTGACATAATTTATCTAAAGTTAATAATACGTTCATACACGGCTCGTTCGTTTCGTTCCGATCGTGTTTTATCATATCGAGAAACTTTCCCGGTGCAGTTTAGCCGTTTAAATTATACCTCCCATAACTATAGACGTGTCAGAGATTAAGTGGGTGTATCGTAACACGTATAAAAATAATAATTAGGCAGATGAAATCGCTTTTAAATAGTCGCGTTTTTTATTCGCCATTGTTTATTATCCCACCAGTGGCGTACCTGGACTTATTTTGTATACCGGTACGAAAAACGGGCACCCTAAAATTTTGATGTATTTTAAAGTTAATCACAAATTGCTTAAAATGATTTTTTTAAGCAATTTGTAGCTAAATTATTTAGCTTTTTAATACTTCTTTCGAAATTAAAAATGCAAGTTTCTGTCTATCAATTATACGAGGGAAAACAAAATTTTGATATTTTAATGAAAGTTTGAAACACCCTGTGGGATATGTTAATACAGCAGGGAATTTAAAAATCATTTTATCATCTAGGTGCATATTTTCTCGATATTTTATTTTTTGGTTCATTTCAATAGCTTTATTCTTCTTGGAGATATTCGCTTTTGAAGAAGACGCTAAGATTTTTTCGTAATTTTTAGGGTTCCGTACCCAAAGACAAGACTTTCTGTCCGTCCGTCTGTCACAAAGGTCTATCTTATGAACCGTTATAGCTAGACAATTGAAATTTTTACAGATAATGTATCTATGTTGCCGCTATAAGAACAAATACTAAAAACAGAATTAAATAAATGTTTACAAATAAAAAAGTACTTTCACTAAACGTTATCTTTTAAGTAAGAATTTTACATAGAATCTTTCAAGTCCTCCGTGGCCGCGTGGTTAAAGCGTTAGGACTTTACGCTGCTATTACGTTGGAGCCGTAGTAAGGCAGGTTCGAATCCTAGTCAAGGTGACTTTTTTTAATCGTTTTTTTTTAATTTTTACATATGTTTACATATTTATTTTTACTTTTTACATATTTATTATTGATTAATACAATTTTTAGTAATGTGTTTCTTCATTCTTTTTTTAAATTACTTATACGCGCATTCAAAATTTCAGCTAAAGGTGTACGCGCACTGAATCGGTACCAGTCCGGCGAAGGCGATGACTCGACTATCGTAGGTAGGTAGAGGTAGGAATCTGGCCTCTATAGGCCGAAATGTTTTAGTGGACGCCGGCGCCGTCTATATGTACGATGGTCGCAGTCGCCTTTGCTGGTCGGTCCGATCCGATGCAGTGCGCGCGGAGTTTAAAGTCGGAAAATTTTTTTATAATAATACAGTGTCTAATGTTGTATAGAAAATGAATGGTACGGAACCCTTCGTGCGCGCGTCCGACTTGCCCTTTACCAATTATTTTTATATTAAGAAGTATTGTAAGATTTCTGTTAGTAAGATTAGATGCAACAAATACGACCAACATAATAGTGTTGGAGAGAGGTGTGAAACAGGGAGACACTATGTCACCTAAACTGTTTACTCTAGCTCTAGAAGAGGTATTTAAAAAGCTGGAATGGGACACCAAGGGCATTAGCGTAGATGGTATCAGACTAAACCAACTCAAATTTGCAGATGATATAGTTCTAATAGGTAACATCACAGAACTAGATGAAATGTTAAATGAATTACATCTATCAGCTACAAAGATAGGACTGAACATAAACCTTAATAAAACAACAAAAACACTGACTACAAAAGAACTGAGTTCTGAAGACAGGTATAACAAAAATAATTTCGGATGTGTACGAGAATATTAGACTTGGAGGACACAATATTAGACTTGGAAAAGAAAACCAACACGCAGAAATTACAAGGCGTATACGATTAGCATGGATAGCCTTCGGCAAATTGGGGCATATTCTAAATAAAAAATCGGTAAAAAAACTTTTAAGTTAAACGGTTTTATCTTATGTGCACTGAAAACTAGAAAATAATAATAACAATTAGGTATTTTGAACTTCTAGTTCAGAAATATTTTAGTACTAGGCAGAATATAGCTTTTAGGCATATTAGACTAAAATAAAAACGTGGGGCCTATTAACTATTGCTGTAATACTTTCTTCTATACTAAGTGTGGATTGCATCGACTTACTATAATCGTAACTGGAGATTTTGACAATCAATAACCAGCCGTGGCGGCTTCATCAGCGAACGCCGAGCTCATGATCTACCAAAGTATAAAGATATGCTTTGCCATAGGTAGGATTTCAGAGGGGCCCCACGTTTATTTTCGTCTAATATGCCTAAAAGCTATTCTGCCTAGTACTAAAATATTTCTGAACTAGAAGTTCAAATGCCCTAATGTTGTTATTATTATTTTCTAGTTTTCAGTGCACATAAGATAAAACCGTTTAACTTAAAAGTTTTTACTGTTTTTTATTTTCTAGTTTTTAGTATTTAACGGAAATACCTACCGAATATTCCTCATTCTATTTAATTCATTTAGTGCATCATTATTACATGGTTTTTACCTGATAATTTATTACAATCTAATTCCTCAATACATAGCCCGTCCAGAGACTTGACTCGACTTAGAGCCACGTATGCTTGCCCTTCCTCAAACAATTTTGAGCCCAAATATACTACTGCATGGTCGACTGTGCTGCCCTGCATTTTATGGACGGTGAATGGCCATGACAAAATTAAGGGTAACATCCTTCTTTCAGCCGTACCATAATTGAATTTTGCTGGAAACTGTATGGCTTTCGGGTTTATAACGTGTATGCCGTCTCGGCCAAAGTCAATCCAAACTGACGGTACATCTGTTTCTTACATTTGGGTTCGACGGAACTGAGGCCAAACAATTTATGTAATGTGGCCTATAGCACCATTTACCAATCCTTTTGTAACGTCAATGTTGGACCGCAACATTTTCACAAATCTCCTATTTTTTTTATCTGTCCTTCTAACGTCACACAATCTTGGACACAACTGTTCTGGACTCACACCTAATACGCCATTTTGTATCGACGTCCATCTTGGATTTTAAATTTTGTCATAATCACAGTATTCTACTAGTGTAGTCCTTTCATTTGATACCCATATTGAGGGGGTTGTGGAAAAATATGAAATCCGCAATTTTGAACCGGCGGCCATCTTAGATTTACAATGTTATTGATATTTTGTTGATATTACTATATTGTATTGTCATCGAAACTAAAGGTGTGTACCAAATTTCATATCAATCTGACAACAGGAAGATACTTAAATTTCAATTTCTAATTTTGACCCAAATAAACAAACAAATAAATAAATACCGTACGGGTCGTACCGTCTGTACAAACATATGGACTGGAAACGACTAGTCTAACAAAATCATTTGCAAATAAATAAACTCAAAGAGCTAATATATATTCATATGGCGAGACAAAATTCGTAATGAAAACATCAGGAGGCAAACAAGAGTTACCGATATAATTCAGGAAGTGGCTAAAATGAAATGGCAATCGGTTCACCATGTTGCTAGACTGGATAAAGACAGATAAACGCATAGAATAACAGTGCGGAGGCCAAGACAAACTAAAAGAAGTGTGGGACGTCCACAGAAACGTTGGGTGGACGATATTAGGGAAGTGATAGGTAAACGGTGGTTAAATACATACAGCAAGACAACAGGGAGACATGGAAAAGGATAGGAGAGATCCAGGATGTGGATGTATCAGAGATGAGGAAAAAGAAAGAAGAAAGTAAGAAGTGTGTCTTCAAATATGCGCACATAGTGTACAGGGTGGCTCGAATTCGACGCTCATCATTGGGATTTCGGAAACCGTCAGTGATACAGGATCTATTAAATGGAGACAAAGTTGCGCAATTTGATGCTCAATAAAATGCTGTATTGCATTTTGAAAAATTCAGAATACTTCCGAATATATTCGAAAAAAAACGGAATTTTCAATTTTGTTTTCTATTGTTTCCTGACTTTATTCGTTAAGATAACCTAAAATGAAAAACACATTTTCATGGCAATTTTTTCTGCTCTATAACTCTGTGTGATTAAATATTGACTCTGACGTTTCGGCTTCTGGCGACCATCATCAACTTATTTTTTTTAAATACGGACCAGATTTTTTTTTTCAATTTAATTAAATCCTTTCATCGCTCTTAAAAGACTATACGTAGTCACTTTGATATTTGCCGACGTTTCATACAGAAAATTCCATCACCAGAATATTTTATGCAAATAAAATGCAATACGGCATTTTACTGAGCATCAAATTGCGCAACTTTGCCTCCATTTAACCGATCCTCTATCTCTTACGGTTCCCGAACCTAACACACAATTTTTCTTATTCAAAATATCTCCAAAATGAGACGCCGCTGTGCAATTGGAATCGATACGAAAATTCTTGTTAATTGTTATCGCAATGTGTGGTCTCTCGCGAGCCGCGATTGAACTTGCGCTGCGGTCCGGCTAATAAAAGAAGGGAAGACTTTCGACGCAAAGAAAAAACAACGACAGCAAAAGAAGAAGAAAAATAAGAGGAAGAAACAAAAGAAAGAACGAAAAACAGCAGATATAGTTTATGTAGCCGCATCGGTGATATATCTTGCGTTTTTTTTCTGGTCTTTATATCTTGATATCGCTCGGTATCGCCATGCAACCACACTGAGGTGGTACTTAAGAGGAAGATTCGGCTTGTTTATCGGAGTGATATTTTAGGAAATATTAATTGGTAATTGTTAGTGTCATTTGTACTTATCTGTTGTGTATACGGAAAAACGAAAATACTTACTTGGTTTAACGTTATTAATTTTAATTTGAGCATTATATGTTAGATTTGTATATACTCAAGTAATAAATTTATTTATGAAATTGTCAATATCGGGCAGAGTTACAAAGATTTAGCCATTTAGGATACTATTTTAAATAGAAAATTGATTCAAATAAAAAAAAATCCTATTAAATAGAAAATTGATTCAAATAAAAAAAAATCCTATTAATAGTTATTTTTTATGCAAGACGATAAAATGGCATTTTATCATCGTTCGAAAAGATTAATTCACGAGCGATGAAGTCGCGAGTGAATTAATTTCGGGAGACGATAATTCAATTTTATCGCCGTGTATAAAACAATATTTTACGTTTTTACGTTTTAAAAAAATATTCGGAAACTATTATTTCAAGGAATTTATTACGAGTAGAAAAAATAATGTGCTGGGTTGGCGTTGGTTTCTATGTAATTTGACAAATAAATGAAGCTGTCTCTTTAGTTGTCAGTTTTGAGTCAATATTTTTAAATTCGCTTTCATGTCGATTGCTGATTGAATTGGAGCCAGAAATGGCTCAAAACGAAATAAGTAAATTACCAATAGATATTCAGGCTGAGGCGATAAACGCCATATCCAAACTACTTCCATTTAAATCCCGAATAACTTATGAAAAGGAATACAAAAATGTTCAAAAATGGAAGCAATTAAAAAACGTGCGAGAGGAAATAAATTTGTTAAAGCATCATTTAATCTACCCTTGCTGTTAAAGTACTATTTTATCTACTATTTTTGATACATATAAGGCAATTTTAACAGTTGCTATGTATGTATGTATATGTATGTATGTAACAGTTGCTATGGAAATAAAAAAAATGTGATTAAAATTGACAGAAAATGAAGACATTGCTCTTTTTCTGTGTGGGGTATTAAAATACCCCAAGCGAGTACCGGAAGGTTAAATTTAGTTTCTAAGATATTTTCTTCATCTAACATCAATGATGGTGTCTTCTATCTGTTTCAGGAGCGAACGGTCTGCGAAGGCGTGGCCGGCAGACGTACACCAGGTACCAGACCCTCGAGCTCGAGAAGGAGTTCCACACGAACCACTACCTGACCAGGCGGAGAAGGATAGAGATGGCGCACGCGCTGTGCCTGACAGAGAGGCAGATAAAAATATGGTTCCAGAATAGGCGAATGAAGCTGAAAAAGGAGATACAGGTAAACGACCGCTATCATTGTTTATTTGTGTGTTTTTCGATGGTTTATGGGGTCGGTTCTATCGGTCATGGCCACGGATTTCGGGAAATATTTGGAGGAATTTTAGATTTATGGTGTAAATAAGGAACTTTTACTATACAGTAAAATAAAACAATAATTTACCACGATACACCAAAACTTTACTTAGTTTTAGTCATCTGCTCATGATGCTAACATGGTTAGTGAAACGCGCGTTCAGTGTAAAAGTAAAGTGTTTTGGTGTATTTTAATGAATTAGTAAGTTCCAACCCCCAACTGTAATACAGATAAACATTTTGGAAGATTTCAATTGTGTTCTTTCCCTTCTGTTTTGTTTGATATAGTTAGAATGATATCTTTAGCGAAACCACTTTAGCGAAGACAAGGCTTCTCAAGTTCCTAGTCCCTTAAAAAATCCAGTTTTTATCTATTATACATGGTGGTCCAAACCGTATTCCGGAAACTTCGGCAGCATATTCTGCAGATAAAAATAAGTAAAAAAGTTCCTATAAATGTATGTCATAAAATGCATAGTTTCGGAGATACAGGGTGTAGAAATTTCATTTTTATTTCGATTTTTTTCAAATAATTTCTGAGGTAACGTCAATATTTGGATGAAAATTGATGCCTGTGAGTTTTTTGATATGAGAAATTTGATTTTCATGTCAATATTACTCCTACTTGTAGAGGACGCCACCAACATATTTTTTAACTGGTTTGAAGTGTAATAACTTTTCGTCAGTATCTGTATAAAACTACTGAGCAAAAAATACACATTTGCGACATTTTCTACGCAAAAAATGTCTCTTAGTAAAAATCTCTACGGGTAATGGTTCTCCAGATATTCGGAATCGAAATTACCAATACCTGTCATAATTGACATAAATTAAACATGTTGACTAAATAGTTATTAGACTGAAATCAATCATACATTTGAAATGTTTTGTACCAAAAGTTCAACAGAAACTGTTTTATCGTCATTTTTTCGAAGAAAATTTTATGATTAATTTAAAAAAATTAAAAGTTCTCAAATTTATCATTTCAGTCAAATAACTATCTACTCAAAATGTTTATTTTTTATCAATAATGACCTGTATTGACTATTTCCATTCTAAAGATTTTGAAAACAGTTGCTTATTTTTATCAAGAGACATTTTTTCATCTCCGAAAATAAGCATTTTACAACATACATTATTTATACGAACTTTTTTACTTATTTTTATCTGCAGAATATGCTACCAAAGTTTTCGGAATGCCAGTTCGGATCATCCTCTATATAAACAAAACTACGAACTTTAACAACAATGTGAGCTTCAATTATGCCGTAATAGGAACATTTTAGTAATGACAACGCATACAGTATTGCCCGGCGCCTCCACCATTATTTCGAACCGAAAAATTCGATACCATATTTTCATAACTTAGTTTATTTTACAAAATTAATTTTTATTTTTTTTTTTCGTTGCAGGCCATCAAGGAACTGAACGAGCAGGAGAAGCAGGCGCAGGCGCAGAAGGCCGCAGCAGCCGCGGCCGCTGCTGCGGCACAACAAGTAGACCAGAATTAGTTGACTGTTAATTTTCCCATTTCTAGTGACGATGATGGGATGCGGCTGAGTTTGTTTACTCAATAGGTGAGTACAAGTCAGCCCCTAGTACTATCTAACACTATTATTTAGATCCGTGTATGTCTAAAATACAATACTTAATTTTATGATTTATCAGTTAATATTTATCTGTCCATTTATATTGGTTTATTTATTGAGTATATTTCAGTTTTGTTCTAAGTGGGTGCATCAAAATTTTGCATCCCTAAAAGATAATATTCAATTTTATTCAATATTTTTTTGTTAATATTCTTTTTCTTTTAAGTAACTTACTTTTTTGTTATATTTTTATTTTTTTTAATAAACAAATTTATTTCTTTTATTTTTTTATGATTTTTATTTTTTTTAATTTTAATTTTGCTTTTTTCGGGAATAAATTATAACAGTGACACTATTGCGATTTTTCGAAAAAGACTGTAAAATAGTTGTTTGTGTAGCGTGCGGTAGATCTCGGTCAAAAATCGAGGGAAATAATGTATTAACTTTTTACTAGTAAGTGACTATATAATAAACATACGTGTAGTAAACCGATCACTTATGAAATTCACTTAAAATTAACTAATTGTATATTTTTTCTTGCATTTTTGCTTTCATTTACTACTTGTCAAAGAATTTAGATACGTCAACTTGACTCATCTGCTTCAGTAGCGTATCGGATGTTTGTGTTAATAAATAATTATTATAACTTTTCTATTTTTATCAGAATTATATGTTTTTATTACAATTTTAATAACTACCAACATTTATTGACAACGTAAAATAACAACACATTATTATGAGTCTACTCTACATCACATTTTTACAAGTTTTGAATAAAATTAGAACGGTACTGATATACTGGAATTTAAATCGGTAATTTAAGTTTTTTATATGCCCCTTCCTTAATTTTTTTATTCAAAAGTTGTAAGCTATTTCTGACTGCTCTGCCAGCGAAGGTAATGATTCCTTTCGACCATTTTGAACTGAAAAAAATCAGATAAATTTAAATGAAAATCTATTACACAAATCTACTTTAAATAGCCACAAACTTATTAATATTCACTCGCTATTTCATTACTTATCTAGACCAATCTCTCTCCAGATAAGAGCCTTCGACTTTTTCTCTTTTCCTTAGGCCCTAAAAGCGACACGGGCTTGGTCCCCTTCTTCGTTTTCTCATTTGCCTTGTCGCTGTTACTTTTTTATCTGGAACGTATAAATCAAAAACAAACTAGCGTGTCAAGATCTACTTAAGTTCTAGGGTTTCCTGTCTTTTTTCACTCTCTGTCTTCGACGGTATTATTTTGCTTTTCGTTTTGGTTTTCTTGCCTTGGTGGTAGTTCAAGTGGTTGGTTTATCGAAAGTTTTTTTAGGATAGAACGGTGAAACAGAATATGTTAATTGAACACATATTGTTCGATTCTTCATCGAAATATGATAATCTCTTCAAAAAAGTCCTATGGCCAACCGTGATTTACTAAAAAACAAATTTGCCTAACGGACAAAAAGTGCTTAACGTTTCGGGAAGTACATCTCTTCCTGTCGTCGGAAGCAAAAAAAACACAAAGAACAAAGAAAAAAACTATTTAAAATATCTAAATACAACTGTTCAATAACTCTTTAGTTTTTTCAACAGATACGTCTACAAAAACCGTTGACGTTCTGTTAAAATGACATTAGGTATATCAAGTTAAACTTTGAAATTATCAATTATTTAATGAGGTAAAACCAAAAAGCCCCAAACCTTCTGTATATGATTATTTTTTATTTGTTTTTAACTTTTACTTATGCTATGTTTACTTATGTTATTTTCATTAAAATCCAAGAAGCGATAGCCATACATTACTAATCCCTACAGATGCCTGAGCAATACATTTATTTATATTAGACTGAGTGCTTTAAGCTTTTATGGGATGGGATACAAACCTCGGAATTCATTTACTCTGAACGAATTTTTATAAACTTTTTTGCAATGTATTGTCAATAAGATATATTACAAAGTTTACTCATTTAAATTCATTGCTTTCACTTTAGTATTTATATAAACACCCATATACAAATGCATACATACAAGATGGCTCCGTATTCCGGAAAAGCTAATGAGATGAACCAAAAGACTAATTTTCCATTACACTGTATTTAGACGGTTAATTTTAAAAAATTCCTGAAAAAGACCTAACAAGGCGAAGCATACGTAGAGACAAAATTACTCTCATTAAACTTGAAACATCTAAAAGAGTGTTTTATTAAAATACTAAAATTATTGTCTCAAAAATATAACATAATTCGATAAACTCTGAGACACATTTTTTTGAAAATCACAAATATTTTATTTTCACTAAAAAAATGAAAAAAAAATATTTTTTAGCCAATATAAATTACGCGAATCAGTGTGGCACGTGCCTTAACGTAAACAAACCATCAGAGTTATAAAAACCTCCAATAAACGAAGGATTTTTATTGGTGTCGTAAACCGCTGGCTCGACACTTACGACTTTACGAGCTTGTTACGTCGTTAGGATTAAGCCCTATTCAAATCGGCCTTAAGAAGGGCACCTCTTTTATGGCCGTGGAATTGACTTGTTTACATTTTGTTCTGATTCTACTTATGATGATTGAATGGGAGGTGCTGTTAATAAGGTTGAATGTCAGTATTTATTTGACTATTTTGTATTCTTACTGTGTCGATAGATTTTATAATTTTAGCGGATTCTTTTGACAGGTGGAAGATATTTTCCCAGAGTTGGGATAGACTGGTGATGAGTGACCATTTATTTTATTGTGTTGATAATTTTTTATAACTTTATGATCTTTTCGTTAGTGGAAAGAATACTTCCCTCTGTAATGGGATGGACTGTTGTTAAATATCAAATAAGTTAATGTTATAGACATTTTGTCTTGTTATTGTGTTGATAATATTTAGAAGTTAGTAGTTATTTTGTCAGTCAGAGTACTAGTAGTAGCTTAGGGTTATTTGACTTGAATCCACTAATAAAGGGACTGATTTTTAAAAGTACTTTATTTATAGCATTGACGACTTTGTTATTTCGTGGCCATTTGCTGAATGTAAAGTGTTTTCTTTTTTTGCACAAAATTAATACTTTTCGGAAACATTTATGACCTTAAACAATTATCACACAAACAGTGGTTATCTAATTAATCCACATTATTTTAAATTAAACGTATCAAAACTTGTGTTAATAATTCCTCCACATTTAATGACAAATTTTAGGTAAAATTTTTGGCAACTTCATAATATTTGTTATTATAAAACTGAAAATCAAGCATAATTACAGAAATACATTAGAATAAACATATACCATACACATATATTTAAAGATTTATCATAAAAAATATAAATTACACAAACAGAATTTTTTGGCTCTCGGTATAAACGCTCATTTTTACTCGAACACAAAATCGAAATTTTAACCGTCGCATTCACCATTTTGTCAATAAAAGCCATCCGTCAAAATAAGCCCCGCCAATTTACGACGCAACATCGCTACACCAGACCACACCGATCCCAATAAATCCTATCGGCGATCTTTCCATATAAATAATGCCTAGTTTATATTTATTGGCCAGCGCAAGTGTAAATTCGCATTTATTATTCTCTCCTAAACGTACAATTAACCGGTTAGAATGATACAATAATTGCGGGTAATTTAAAGTTGAACACACGGGCAACGGGCAAGACGTATCATTATTTCTTTCTATTGACCGTGACTGAAAGCCGTTTGATTGAAGAGTGTGCTTTTCAATCGAGCGTGTCGATGATCTGTCATTAACCGATTAAATTTGTGATATTTCGCGGGAAATTAGAACATGGCGGAGGAAGTATTAAAAATAATTGTTTAAAATTACTGCAATGTGAGTGGTTTTATACCCTGTGATAAATTATTATTTGTGCACTATTCCATTAGTCTTTGTCTGGTACTCTTTATTTTCACAGGGTTTGAAACTTATCAGTCCCTCCTGGGCAGATGGAGATCGACGTGGTTTTCTTTATCTTCAAAAATATGCAAATCTAGTTTGAGCAAGGAGTATTTCCCAAACCCGAAAACCAACTAACCAATAGATTAACCCCTCCAAATAACCAACCAATATCATGAATAACTAAACCAATCCAACCAAAAATAGTGAGAGCCAATGCGATCAAATCACATTATAAGCAAAAAAAAAATAATCGAATAAATTAATTTTTCAGGTTTTGCAGAATATTCTTAGCTTGCTCAAAATTAGATTTGCGTATTTTTCTCAGGCATTGGCCGAATTCGACTATTGAGCGTAACATATTTCATATTCTATTTTCATAATTCTATTTTCATAAACAAGCTAAAAAGAGCGTTAGTTTAAATTAGGTTATCAAAACAATCGAATAATTTATTCGGCATCGAATTTTGGATATTGGCTATTTCATGCTAGTTTCTGTATGTGAAATTCATTTTTACTGTAGTTTATTACACCACAGAAAACTAAATTGTCTAATTAAATTAAATTAAATATTTTTTTTTTTTTTTTTTTTTTTTTTTTAAATTTAAAATAAGTGAAGCAAATGAAATGAAATGCTGAGTATATAAGATTATTCCCATTAAAGCTTATAGAAATGTTCAAATCTATATTTTTGAGATGAGAGCTTCCAGCGAAAAACTAGTTACTCCACTGGATTCTACGTAAAAAACTCTACAAGCCACCAATTTTTTTACTTTTCGATGATTAAAAAATAACCAGAGAGAGGGTCAAACTTGGCGAAATATTTTTCAACAATTATCACAAACAGTTATTGGTTAAATTTCAAAATAATATTAACAACATACGTAACTAATGCAATTAACCTAATAACATTGATAAAGCACACACTCTCTTTTATTAGTGTACATCATTCGACTACAAATACATTGCGATTACTTTGCCAATTACATAGGGTTTGTTTATAAACTCCCCAAACTCCATTTTATCAATTCACATCGGTGGAACGTAAAAATAAAATTTTAAGATATATTTTAAAATTTGCTTCCCAACCTTATTTT